TTAGGACACATACAGAAAAAAAAAGTAAGGCAGCTCGTCAAAACCAGCAAGAGCAAATACCCTTGGGCGGCGCGCCCCTGTACGAGACCGAACTTTTGCGCGCTACTTATTTCGACGTCTGGGACCGCTTCACGGCGAGCGCGCGGGCCCGCGGCGAGCCGGACGCCGACGGCCCGGCCTCGAAGCCCTTCTACTTTCGCTTCCTCACCGTCATGGCCTTTCACGTCTTCCTCGGCGAGGCGTGCCGCAGCGTCGTGCTCGAGGTCGGCATCGGCGGCGCCTACGACGCCACGAACGTCGTGCCCGCCGAGAGCGTCACGGCTGCCGTCGTGATGAGGCTCGGCGTCGATCACGTGGGCATGCTCGGCGGCATGAGGGAGGAGATTGCGTGGCACAAGGCGGGCATCATGAAGAAGGGGCGGCCGGCGTTCACGAGGCTCGTCGAGGAACGGCCCTCGGTCATGGCCGTCTTGAGAGAGAGGGCTGTGGCGCTGGAGTGCAGCGAGCTCGTCGAGGTGAAGGACGCCGACGTCGAGGCCTGGGGCGGCGTCGAGAGCGGGCTGCGGGGCGAGTTTCAGAGGTATAACCAGGCGCTGGCGGCGCTGGCGGCCGAGGAGCACCTCTGCGCGCTCGAGGGTCGCACGTCGGCGAGGAAGCTGTCAGACGTGAGGCCGAGCGTGCTGGAGGCTCTCAAGAGTGCCTCTCTGAGAGGCCGCCACGAGAAGAAGAGCGATGCGGAGCGGGGCATCAGCTGGCTTCTCGACGGTGCGCACACGACTGACAGCCTTGAGGAGACGGCCAAGTGGCTCGCCGCTGAGAGACAGAAGCAGCCCAAGGCGGGCATCGTGCTGCTATTCAATCAGCAGGAGCGTGAGGCAAGCGAGCTGCTGCTTCACTTCCTGGCGACTTTGCGCAAAGAGATTGGCGATGCCGACGACAGACTATTCAAGGCTGCCGTCTTGTCGCGAAACGACGCGAAGAGCGACGAGGGAGCTCCCGATGCTGACATTACTGTGCAAGAAAGCTGCCGCGAGGCCTTTGCGTCAGTATATCCAAGTGTACCAACACACATCACGCAGAACCTCACATCAGCCATTGAACACATTCGTGGGTTCAGCACACCAGGCGACAAGACGGAGCAACAGACGGTGTTGGTGACGGGCAGCATGCACCTCGTCGGGGGTGTCATTGGGCTGCTGGAGCCGGAAGGTCTAAAATAAATCTACCACCTCGAAGAGAAGAAAGAGCCACATCACATACACCGGGGGAGAGAATCACAGGGCCTCAGCACCCTCGAGAATGCCGAGAGCGCCGCCCACAAGATGCAGACTCCCCGTGACCAACGCCTGCACAGGCTCCTCTTTCGAGTCTCGCCCGAGGTTCTCTACAAAGTGCAGGGCTTCCTCGATCGTGGGGATCACGGATATCTTGGCGGCTGGATCGAGGGCCTGCCACTTTTCGGCAAAGCTCCGCTGCACAGTCAAAGCTTCGATGGCCTTGGGATCGTACTGGTTGTTGACAAAGTCTGGAGCGAGTTAGCAAATGGAGCCAGCGGAATGCGAAGATTGACATGACCAACCCTTCTTGTACCCCGTCGAGTAGGTGACATTGGTACAAAAGACGACATGGTCAAACGAAGTACCGTCGGCACGTTTGATGGTGTTGTGAATGCCATCCAAAAAGTCGATCGCCTCGGTGCGACCCTGCTGGTTGAAGACAAGTGCCCTCTTTCCTGGCCTCTCCTTCGTCTCGCCGGCGAACCACTGCGATGCCATCTTGAGACTGTCCGTCGTGTGCGCGCCGTCGAGGTGCCAAGTGACACCTTCGGCAGGCTTGACCTCACAGCGGCCCCGCCACTCGACCTGCTCGAGGCCGTCCACGAAAGCCTGCGGCAGGGAGTCCTCCTGTCGCTTGAACGACGGGTCGATCTTGGCGAGCGCCGCCTCGGCCAGCGCCACGGCCAGACTGGCGTTTCGCTTCTGGAACAAGGCATCCGGGCGGATCTTGACACGCTCCAGCCGCGGGTCGACGCCGACGACGGTCAGGTTCACACCCTTTTCCACGGCCCGCTCCTGCAGCACCGCCGCGGCGCCCTCGACCTGCTCGACGGTGAAGGCCGGGGCGGCCGTCTTCATGATGCCGCCCTTGTGCCACGCAATCTTCTCCACCGTGTCGCCCAGCGCAAAGACGTGGTCGATGCCGAGCGTCGAGATGCCGGCGCCACAGGCAGCTGAACGATATTGGTCGCGTCGTATTCGCCCCCAATGCCCGTCTCGAGCACGGGGCAGTCGACGCCCTCCTCCATGAAAGGCATGCAGCGCCAGCAGCGTCATGTACCGCGCATACACGGGCTTCGTGCCCGCAGGCAGCTTGTCGATCTGCTCGCGCGAGCTCTCGAGCCTGTCCCAGACGTCGAAGAAGTAGCGCGCAAAGAGCGCCTCGGCAATGGGCTTTCCGTTGACGCGGATGCGCTCGCGCACGGCGACGAGGTGCGGCGAGATGAGGAGACCCGTCTTTCGGGGCAAACCGGTGGCGGCGCGGTGGCGGGCGAGGATCGAGTCGGCGAAGGCGCAGGTGGTGCCCTTGCCCTTGGTGCCGGCGACGTGGATGACGTTGAGGCGGTTCAGGGCGGAGGGGGTGTAGCCGAGGCGGGCTATGTAGGTGCGCATCTCGAGGATGGCAGCCTCATCGGGACGAATACCGGCCTTGCGGCGGGCTTCGACGACCTCGAAGGGGGTCTGGAGGGAATTGAGGGCGTCGATGGCATCCTGCTTGCTGTCAGCACGTGGAGTTCGTGGTTCGTGGACAGAGGAGCCATGTGAGGTGGTGGGTGGACGGCGGGGAGGCACACACATTGTAGGATCTGGTGGTGGTAGCCATTGCGCGTATCAGGGCGTGCCTTGGTGTGAGGGTACGGGGGAGGATCCGCGGGACTCGAAGACACACATGATGCATCAAGGCAACGACGGCTGATGCAGGTGCAGGTGCGAGTCCAGAGGCAGGTGCCGGTGGAAATGCAGGCAAGTGGAGGAAAAGTCGTGGGGAAGTCGCTATGCGCGTCGCGCCCGAAGTCGGATGCAGCTTCCTTCCTACCCTTGGTGCCTTTCTTCAATAAGGTACCTACCTACCTTACCTAGGTACCTACCTCAAGACAATGCAGGGCAGGTATGGCGGGGTCCTGGTGACTGCCGGGCGGGTGCGACCGGCTGGCTCCTTCCAGTGCACCCCTCCTGCCCCTTTGGGCCACCATGCTGCACCACCTGCCCGCTCTCTTATCTCTCGACACCACAGGCCCGAGATGTGACCCCCCTCCTCTTCGCCTGCTACAGGCGGCATAAGATTCTCACTGCAGCCTACATAGATGTTTCTTGGTACTGTCCTCTTTTTTTTTTGAAGCCTGCGCACCATGACCGATACATACGAGCTGTGGGTGGGCGGCCGAGAACAGCCGGGCAATGGCGACCTGTAAGCCTCCGTGTTCATAGGTCCTCGACCTTGCTATCGAGCCACTCACTCATGCTCTGTAGCATCCCCATCGAGGACCCTGCCACTGGAGACATATTTGCGCAGTAGGCGACTCCATTCCCATACACTTGTCCTGCAGACCACTCAACGTTGAAAAGCTCACTACTCATGCTCTCAGCTGCCACTCGGCCTCCGCCGCAGATGTCAATGACATCGTAACAGCCGCTCACGAGACCTTCAAGTCAGGCGTCTGGTCAAAGGCACCCCGACAGACACGCGCCGATGTCCTCGATGCCGCCGCCAACCTCTTGGCCACTGCCATGCCGCAGCTCATACCGCTCGAGGTCCGCCAGACTGGCCGTGCCATCCGCGAGCTTAACGCCCAGGTCCCCACCCTGACCAAGTGGTTCCGCTACTATGCTGCCCTTCTGCGCACTGAAGAGCGTTCGGTTCTCCCTACCTTTGGCAAGCTGCACAATTGGGTTGACCGTGTGCCCCTCGGTGTCATCGTCCAAATCACCCCTTTCAACCACCCGCTCCTCATCGCCGTCAAGAAGCTCGCGCCGGCTCTGGCTGCCGGCAACAGCGTCATCATCAAGCCCAGCGAACTCACGCCGTTGACCACTCTACGGCTGGGGGCTATTTTGCGTGAGGCTGGTCTTCCCGACGGGGTGCTTACTGTTCTTCCCGGATACGGCGCCACAACCGGCAAGGCGCTCGTCGAACACCCCCTCGTGCGCAAAGTGGATGTGACGGGCGGAACAGCGGCTGGCCGAGCCATCGGAGCCATTGCTGGGAAGAACCTGGCCAAATTCACAGCCGAGCTTGGCGGCAAAGCACCGCTCGTCGTCTTTGACCAGGCCAACGTTGATGTCGCCGTCAACGGTATCGCCTTTGGCTCCTTCATTGCTAGTGGACAGACGTGTGTTGCCAGCACGAGGATCATTGTCCAAGAGAGCATCTACGACGAGGTATTGGCCAAGCTTCAGACCAAAGTCGAGTCCATCAAAAGACGTATGGGTGCACCGAGTAATTCTGAGTCTATGATGGGGCCACTGGTCTCCGCGAAGCAGCTGAAGAACGTCGAGGATTTGGTCAACGATGCGGTTGTGAACGGCACGGCTGCCATACTCGCGGGGGGCCGTCGCATGACAGGTACGGGCTCGGTCGACGGCACCGACTTTTCCAAGGGCTACTACTTTGAACCCACGATTCTAGGCGCAGCTAGTGGATTGAAGGAGCTTTTGGCAAGTCGCATCTGGAAAGAAGAGGCCTTTGGCCCGGTCATTGTGGTGGCCAAGTTCAGCACGGAACAGGAAGCTGTCAACCTGGCCAACAACAGTGAGTTCGGTCTCGGTGCAGCTCTGTGGACCAAAGACCTGTCTCAAGCATTCCGCGTTTCGGAGCAAATCGACGCTGGCATCGTATGGGTGAACACGCACCACCGCAACGACCCGAGCAGTCCGTGGGGGGGAGCCAAGGGGTCCAGCGGCGTGGGCAGCGAGAACGGCCGGGATGCTTTCTACGCGTACACCAAGATGAAGAGTACGATTATCAACTACGCCTCGACGGAGGAAGCGCTCGCCGCCGACGATTGGTTCCGGGAAGGCACTGGAGATGTGAGGTATGGATAGTTGGAGACTTGAACCAACATTTTCCCGAGTCTCCTGAATCTATAAAGAAATACTCCTTGCTCGCCCCATGTACTTGCCTGCCTAGACTCGGATCTTGAGAGACGGACGATCCGACACGCGCTACCTTCCAGCAAACGATGTTGCGAAACAGCACGCATACAGCAGGCCGGAAAACACAATGAAACCCCGGTAACCCCTCCCCACTGTCGCACTGATAATCTCACCTCCTATGGGAATGCCTACCAGGCAGGCCACCGCAGCGACCGTGAACGCCGTGGCGTGATATCGCCCATACTTGCTCGTCTCACACAGCCTGCCAATGCACACTGGGCTTATGCTGATATTGTTGCCGCTGCCGAAGCCAAACACGACGCAGAACATGACGACCCCCCCCCCTCCCCCCCCCGGCATGGACGAACCTGCCGGCAGCCAAATATCAGGAGGACATGCCAATACTCTATTCAGGTTACTTGGTGTAATTGCCATCGTGTTGGTGAGTCCTACCAGTGCCAAGGCTTAGCAGCACCACGGCGGTGACGCCGCATACGCTACCGCCGAATACCAACCAGCGCGGCCCGTGCTTGTCAAAAGAGAAGCCTGATGTAGATGCTGCCGCAGAAGAAGCACGGGAAGACAAAGGTCGAAAAGATCCAGGCGATCTAGCCCTCGGTATCGTCCTTCAGTTGATTCGCGCTGACTTACTTTGTCTCGTCCAACGCCAGCCACCCTGCCTAGCGCGACGAAAGCTGATGGAGCAGACATGAAGCTCATGAGCCTAGAACAAGGGAAATCTACATATCTTGACCATAAGATAGCACCCTTCTCACGGTACACAGCCCCTTTGAAAAGCTGAGCAAAACGAAACCACCTGAACCGAGCCCACAGGGACAAAAGTTGAACTGCGTGAACTGGGAATCGAACCCAGGGCTCCCCGATGGCAACGGAGAATTTTACCACTAAACCATTCACGCTTGTTATCCTGAGCGAAGGCTCCTGGATCGATGCAACGGAAACCGACGCGTACCATCATAAATCGCGCGGGGGCCCAATATCTGGTCTGGAGTCGTCGGATCGCGGTGGGTGGATGAGGGCAAGATGTGGGGCTCGAGTCATGGTCGCATGGGCCGGCCCTTTGTCTCGATCTCTCCACATGGAAACTTTTCTGCATCTTCGGGTCCGTCTGACGCGAGCGGTAGCAACTCCGACGCCATAATCTCAACCTCCAAACGTCTCTTCATCAACTGGTCGGTTAGCTCAGTTGGTTAGAGCGTGGTACTAATAATGCCAAGGTCATGAGTTCGACCCTCATACTGACCAGCGATATCTTTTGCTAGTCTGCGAGACTTTTTTTCTGGCCTCCATGGCGGTGATGCGCACCATTTGGTCGCAGGAACGGGACAGTCGAGGGGTAGTATTCGTTGTGGAGCACGGACATCTCTTTTCCGGCTCTCCTGGGAACGGGCGTGGACAGTTCCATTGATCTGTCTTGGGATCTAGCTCAGCAGGCCAAAAAGGCTGAACCTGCTAAATGTGCGTACTGTCGAAGTGCTCCGTTGGGCCCGGCTCGGCGCTGTCGCACTTGACCCACCAGTGCCACAACTTCGGCGTCTTCAGGTTCCGACACGGCATGCAATTACGGGCCTTGGCGACGGGGGCATGCCGGAAGCTGAACATTGTGATTGCTGGCAGATTTTGTAGTCGTCAGCCAGAGACTCGTCATGGGCTTGTTGCTGCGTGCCTCCTCAGTATTGACCACTGGACATGGTATGGTCTGTAACAGCACCGAGTGAGTGCTGTAGAAGGAAGCGGCACAGCATTGGATCAAGGGCTCAGAGCCGACGAACACGACTCCTGGAAGACCACTTCAGCCTAGGAGGAAGCTGTAGTTTAAGGTTTCATGCCAACGTACGTCTTGGTACGAAAATTGATCTGCTTCTCGGTAGGACAGGTGCATGGTCGTACGTATGGCAAATATGCGTCCTGGGCTGTGCATAGAAGCCACTGACCAGGGATGCGTCTGACAACAGTCGAGCAGGCGAATCAGCGACGGATTGAAAAGTGTTGCCTGGAGCGGCCCTCGTCTGAGACGCTGTGGCCTTGTTCGTCATCAATCTGTGAGTGCCAGGCACAGCAAAAGTTTACGAAACGGGAGGCTGACCGACGCGGTACGCAGGGCAGGGGACAACCTCGCTGCTGCGCCGCGCCAGAGTACTGACGCAGTCTAGCCTGCTGCCGAAAGTGGTGTTAGTCGGATGGCCGTGATAGGCCAGCTCGCCAATTTCCATCGTGTCGTGTAGTGTTGTCCGTCTGAGAGCATCTTGCATGCATGGTGGGTTTGCATCCAATTTTTGGAATCAAGCCTAAGAATGCCGTGGGACAGCGATGGCACATTCTATATTAGACATCTTGTCTGCCTGCCTTTGGATGGCTTCGGAATGGATCAACTCAGGCATCATACTCAATTCGAATCCGTTCATTACCTAGCCAACCATCATACGTATCCAGGTTGGTAGCTTGTTAACTTTAATACAACAATGTCCGGCTCAACAACAGCGACGAACGTGCCGAGCGCGACTTCAGCGGCGGCAGAGCCCTCCTGCACGACAGCAGTGCCCGGAAAGTACGGAAGCGTTCCGTATGACGCCTGTAACTCCAACTACAACTTTGAGCCAGACTTTGCGGCCAACTGCGCCTTTGCAGTGCTCTTTGGGTTGACTCTGGGCGCCCACTTGGTGCAAGCCGTGACCTGGAAAAAGGTACGCGAGCTCATCACTTCGAGTCTTGTGGACGCGTTGGACTAATCAGCCTAGCGATTCTGCTGGGTAGTGAGCATGGCGGCCCGCGTGGGAATGCACCGCGTTTGTCCTCAAATCAGCCGGTGCGCGGGACCAGCAAAAGCAGATCTACGCCATCCTGGGCCAGCTGTTCTTCCTCCTCGCGCCCTTGTGTAAGTATGCCATCCCCAAGGGATCCTGTATCGAACTAACGGACTCGATGCAGGGATGAATGCCTTGGTCTACATGACCGTTTCCAGACTTGTGTACTACGTCTTGCCGGACCGCAGCATCTGGAACCTGAAAGCCACCCAGCTGACGAAACTCTTCGTCTGGATCGACGTGCTCTGCTTCCTCGTGCAAGCCGGCGGCGGCAGTCTCCTGTCGGGCGATGACATGGAGATGATGCGCATTGGACAGTACATCTATGTTGCCGGCTGCGCCGCCCAGTTGTTCTTCATCGTCATCTTCTGCGCACTGATGGGTCGACTGTACGTCAGGATGCGCGAGGCTCAACGCTTTGACCTCAGGATGACGCTTGTAAAGTCACTCTTCTGGGCCTTGCTTGCCGTTCTCGTCCTCATCATGGTGAGTTCATCTTTGAATTAAGCACTTTTATCGCACAAGCCCTGCTGACATGTACATGCAGATTCGGATCGTCTTCCGTCTCTACGAGTTCAAGCCGGGCTCGGACTTCGACAGCGAGATCCTGACGAATGAATACTATGCGCTCGGACTTGACGCGCTGCCGATGCTGCTTGGGCTTCTGTTGCTTAACGCAGTGCATCCCGGATGGGTGCTTCGTGGTCCGGACAGCAAACTGCCCCGAGTAACGAGACGCGAGAAGAAAGAGATCAAGCGCCAGAAGAAGGAGGCCAAAAAGGCAGCTAAGCTGACGGCGAAGGAGGAAAAGAGGCAGAAGAAGGCGATGAATATGTTGCACGTTAAAGAGGCTCAACGATCGTCAGACACCTTCGAGATGAATGAGGCGTCGGAACGAGGCGATGCCCAGGTAGTCTGACGAAATGTTTGCTTCTCCGTCCATAACCCACATCAACTATACAGATAGAACTCAATTGCTTTGACTGAAGCCTTGAGATCATTGTTCGGGACTGACCCTGGGACAATGTGCCCGCCAAGCTACCTGGCTCCAATGTCGGACTCACAGTAAGACCACCCTCGCCGCTCTTGGTCTTCCGCGATTAATGGAAACGGAGGTGAGAATTGTGCAAATCTTGCACGCACGAAAAGCGACGACGGCAGCAACCGTTAGATCGAGATCCCGGTCCGTTTCCGAGTGTCTGGTACAGTGTGTGTCTACAGGGGCTGACCTTCTGCAGGTCGCTTTCAGCTGGATGTGCGAGTGATGAGACCGCGACCCCGCCCTTCTACAACCAACAGCTCGCTGACAGGATTGCTGAAAGAAAGTTTATTTTCTTGACATATGCAACTCTTCGGCACTTCCTATGAACCTTTGTGGATCACATGCCACACGTAAGTGAAGGCTGAATTTCTTGATCCGTCTCACCTTCAGCCGCACATCCCACGATGACAGCTCAGTGTGACCAGACGCCTCTCACCATGCGCTGGCCAGCCTTACCGAAGTACATGTGAAGAAAAAAGTATATGGTACTTTTAGGTGGCGTACGCCACAGCTGAGCCCGTCATCCGTTTGAGCTTCAATGATTTCAGGGGTTCACGAGCCAGTTTGACCCTCTGCTGACTTGACATAATCCTACAAAGCTTCATCGTGTTTCAGCGGGATACGTCGCTCAAGTCAATGTCTACCAGCCAAAACTCAACAACCCTTCATTTACTCAGGGGTCAGGATAGTCAAGTGCAGACACATGACTAGCCCATGGCCATCGAAGGCGATCCAAGCAAGGCCGCGGCCGGCGTCGGGTATGGTCTGTTCGGCGCTCCGGCACAAGGCTCTCGCTCAGCCGGCCAAGACTTCTTTGACCTATCCACCCTCGGAAGCACCCTCTCGGCCTCGTCTGCTCTGCCTGCCGCGCCATCCATAGTCCCGCAAAAGGAGGGCGGTGCCATTTCTGGCCTGGGAGAGAAATACAACGTCAGCTCAGCCTCCGGGACTGGGTCATTGTCGGTGCCTATCCAGACATCGCCCGCCAGGCGTGGTATGCAACCACAGCTCGCGCTTCAGTACGACTCAGGCGCTGGGAACAGCGAGTTCGGCCTCGGGTGGCAATTGCGCGGCGGCGCTTCCATTACGCGGAAGACATCCAAAGGCTTGCCTCGATATCACGATCCCGCTTCCGGCCCGGAGTCCGACGTTTTTGTCCTCTCTGGCATGGAGGATCTGGTGCCTGTGTTCAAGAAAGACGCATCAGGGGTATTTCTCCAGGACTCTGCGGGCAATCCCGTCACCGAAGAGTCCGTCCGTGGCAACCATGTAGTGCGGAAGTATTTTCCACGCAGTCGCCAGACTTTTGCTCGCATTGAACGCTGGACGAATCTTGAAAGCCGGGACGACGTGCACTGGCGCGTCGTGACTGAGGAAAATAGCACTTTGGTTTTCGGCTCCGATGCCAACTCCAGAATATTCGACCAGTCAGCTGCGGTCGACGGCACTATTCGCATCTTTTCATGGCTTCAGTCTGAAACGTATGATACATACGGCAATGCCATGGTTTTCACCTACAAGCAGGAGGACTCGGCCAACGTCAGTGGCGAGGCAGCACATGAGGCGTTCCGTACGCCTGAGAGCCGGGGGGCCAACCGATATCTGAAAACCATTCGATACGGAAACACGATACCCAACCGATCTCTAGACACCTGGGCTGCGTTCTCGGCATTCGAACTGCCCCAGGACTCATGGAAGTTCTCCGTTGTTTTTGACTTTGGGGAACATAACGAGAGCCTTCCCAGCCCCGTTGAACTTAGTGCCTGGCGGTCAAGACTGGATCCCTTCTCGACCCACCGGCCGGGTTTTGAGTTACGGACCTACAGACTCTGCCACAGGATCTTGATGTTTCATCATTTCACTGAGCTGGGCCAAGAACCTTGTCTCGTGTCCTCAATGGAGCTCGCATATCGCGAGCACCCATCACTGACGGTATTGACATCTGTTCGTCATTTCGGACATTCTTTTGATGCCGCCTCAGGTACAATCATCTCACGCGGCCTCCCACCACTCGAATTCTCCTACCAGGAGTTTCCTTTAGATCAGGAACTCGAAAGATTAACCCCGCGAGCGGTGGACGAGAAAAGCCTCCGTAATCTTCCTGTTGGCCTTGATGGAAGAGACTACCAGTGGATCGACTTAGATGGCGACGGCCTCCCTGGAATACTCATGAGGTCAGAAGCCGCATGGTACTACAAACGCAACACCAGCGCCAACAACGTACAGGCCGGGACAGAGCCACCTCTGGCCGTTGCCCGATTTGGAGAACTGGAGCTGATCCGCACAATTCCGTCAGCGTCTGAACCTGAAATGTGTCACTTTGGTGATGTGACGGGTTCTGGAAAGCTGAATCTCATTCAAACAGCACCCTCAGGATGGGGATACTTTGAACGCGAAGCGGATATTGACGCTGGATGGACCAATTTTCGATACATGGCCAGGTTTCCCAATGTTGATGCCTCGAAAGATAGCGTCAAAATGATCGATCTCACCGGAGATGGCTTACCAGATGTTCTAATTTACGACGATGAAGTCCTGACATGGTACCCTTCGCTCGGCGAAGAGGGCTATGGAGATGGTGTCTCTGTTTCACAGCCTGCCTCGGATCGTAGTTCCCCAATCTGCCTCTTCCAGGACACGGAACAAACTCTTTATCTGGCCGACATGTCGGGAGATGGTCTCGCTGATATTGTTCGAATACGAAACTCTGATGTCAGCTATTGGGCCAAATTACGGCTACGGTAACTTCGGCCCGCATCGTCCAGATGGACGGCGCACCATCTTTTGACTACCAAGATGCATTCCATCAGGGAAGAATCCGCTTGGCAGATATTGACGGCTCTGGAACGACCGATCTCATCTACCTTTCAGGTCAGGGGTTGGACCTGTACATGAATCACTCTGGCAACCAGTTCTCTGCCAGAAAGCGGCTGCCGCCAAGCTTCCCAATTGATAACACCTCCGTCGTCAGTGTCGCGGATCTTCTGGGAAATGGAACAGCCTGTCTCACTTGGTCGACAAGCCTTCCCGCAGAACGTCGAAGTATTCAGTATGTAGACTTCACAAAGGGCCGTAAACCGCATCTTCTCAACCGCTTCGTCAACAATTTGGGAGCCGAGACGGTGATGCGATATGCGCCATCTACCAAGTTCTACCTGGACGATAAGCAGAGCGGAACCCCTTGGATCACGAGGCTTCCCTTCCCCGTTCACTGCGTGGAGCAAGTGGAGACCATTGACCATGTCAGTCACAGCCGATTTGCGAAACGATACAGCTACCATCATGGATACTTTGACGGTGTTGAAAGAGAGTTCCGTGGCTTCGGCCGAACAGACGAGTGGGACACTGGCGTCTTCGAGGCAGCGGCGAGTCCCCGGATGAGCAACGAGGATGCTGCTTGGCACACCCCGCCCGTGCGGACGTCCACATGGTTTCATACCGGAATGTTCGTCGACGAAAGGACCTGGAGCCGCCAGATACAAGCCGAATATTTTACGGACTATGTGCGTGAAGGGCTTCCGAGTTCGCCATCTCATGGTGCCTTATTACCCGAGTCGATCAATCCGTTCGATCCAGAGGAGATTAACATCCTGAGGGAGCGTTTCCGGGCACTTAAGGGGAAGCTTCTTCGTAAAGAGGTTTACAGCGAGGACGGATCAGATTCATCCCACATTCCATTCGCCATCGAAGAACACAACTATTCTGTCAAGGTGGTACAAGACGTCCAAGACTCCCATCTCCACGCCGTCTGCACAGTCCAACCCCGAGAAACCGCAAGCTATTACATGGAGCGGGTCACGGGAGATCCAAGGATCCACCATACCATGTGTCTCGATATCGATGATTTTGGGAACATCCGAAAGGAGATAAAGATTGTTTACGGTCGGCAGCCAGGACTCACCACCCTGACGGGCCCCGACAAGGCGAAACAGGAATCGACACATATCTTGTATTCGGAGAACAATATGACCGAAGCAATCGACGAGGGCAATGACTTCAGGCGGCCAGCCGTCTATAGCACGCGTACATACGAGATTTCTGGGTTTCAGCCAGCGGGCAACGCCATGCAGTTCTCGTTCGCAGACTTCGCAGGCGAGAGCAATGACTTTTCTCCCCTGACATCGCTACAAGAAGTTCCCTTTGAGGAAGATCTCAATCTCACGTCACGGCAAAAGAGACTTATCAACAAATCCCGTATCGTATTTCGCAAGGATGACCTGACTGGAATGCTTCCTCCTGGACACCTCGGGAAGCTAGGCCTCGCTGGCGAGAGTCATACCCTCTGCTACACCCCTGGTCTTTTGGTCAAGGCTTTTAGACGCTTCAGAACCGACGGAACAGAGGAAGCGCTGATAAGTGACCCAAAAATTACCCCTGGCGGCCTTGTAGAAGGATCACGACTAGGCTATGTGGACCTTGAGGGCGACGGGTCTTGGTGGGCAAGCGCGGGAACCGTGAGGTACTCTGAGACATCCACCTCCGACCCAGCCTTGGAGCTCTCTCAAGCCAAGAATCATTTCTTTGAAGCAATTGCGTTTCTTGATCCGCTCGGCCATGAATCAAGGGTTTCCTACGACTCTTATGTCTTGTTACCATCATGGAC